GATTCATGTTTTGCATATTTTTAAATTTAAAACAGAAATTGTTTAAAATCTGAAATCTAACTTTTCATACATTTTCCCTGTTCCTATACTTACAGTTAGAAAATGCGAAATAAATAAATAAATAATACATTTAAGATGCATCTCATATTCAATTCAGAATAAACATATGCAAAAAGACTAGAAGTACAACGACAAACTGTAAGAAAAGGGTGTAAAACATGGCAAAACTGAAATGAAATTTACATTTTTCGCTCCACTGTCATCAGGAGGTTGGTGAAATGAAAAAGTAATCTGTGTTTTCATCTGTCCAAGCCAAAGTAAGAAATGCAAACAAATGCAAAAGGTAGTATCAAGAACATAAAGAAATTTAAAAAAATTACTGGTTAAAACAGACTGAGAACAAAAAAAACAAAACCTGCAAATACAAGCAATCAATCGTACAACCTCCGTCCGGAAAGTTCAGTAAACATAGCTATAGTTAGGCTTTCAATTGCAGTTCGTTCCACAGTAAATGACGGGTAGCACAATGTTATCTTCATTAAAAACAAGCACAAACTACTTCATACTTCAAGAATAATAGGTAAGTCATTGAACATGAATGATGTCAGAATGATTGTATAACAAATAAATCTATCAAAATGAGTCTCTATAATGCCTCAATATGTAGTCACATAACAGCATAATTACATAATAATGATATCAATTCAGACATTTTAAAAATCTTTTTCTAGGTTTCAAGGAAGATAGCCTCTACTTTCCTTAACTGTATCAGGGTTCATAGCCACATTTTAGTTAAAAAAATAAGCACCTTTTAATTATAAGCATTATACACAACGCATAACCTTAAAAATTAGACTTGTATTTAAAATAGAGAATGCAGTATTTATTAAGAGAATAAGCATTACCTCACCATGGAAAAAATTACTTTTTTTTTAAATTTTAAATAACAGTTCATTTACAGACTAGTTTACAATGAGAGGAAAAAAAACTGCAGAACTAAACTATATTACAAGATTTAATGATGAAATTTCAGTTCAAAATAGACAAAATAAATAATAATAAGGCATATTTATTGTATTCGCTTGGAACCTAATAATAAATACAATTTATTTTTCCACTCATATGATATGTAAATAATTAATCTAACTTGAACATTTTCTAAATTTTCATTGTATATCAGTTTTTCCCTTAACAGATATGCAAGCAAAGTAATTTAAGTAAAAAGAGGCCATTTTGAAATCAGAAGACAGAATTTGCTTCATGCAATTATCCTTTAATAGTAAAGCTAATAACCCGCATACTTGGAAATTGCGAATATTTGGACAGTCAAGCATAACTTGAAAAAGAGAGCGGAGGAGAGTAGACTGGTATCGTCTTTAGATTTTTCGCTAAATAAATGTTTTTGACATTTCAATATGTGCATCATATGAAAACAAACCAACGGAACAGAAAAATATTCTGCTTAGCACAGTAAAACTCTTTTAAGTGTTCCTAAAGAAATCTCGGACCGAACATCAAAATAAATTATCTCTACAAAATATCTCAAACGTTATTGCACAATACGTGCGCCGTTATTCTTCTCTACATAATATTACGCAATCAGAATCAACAGCTGCCGGTATGGGAGAATAAAGAACTAAATAACGGAAAAGAAAGAGACCTACCAATCTGGGGTGTTTTTCATTCAAATTTTAAACAGACTGCGTTAAATTTCCGGAATAGAATCATTTTTCGCCTGGGTTGGTAGACTGCAGAACTTTTAGTCCTATTCAATCCAGATAGGAAAGCAACAACAACAACAAAAAAAGAAAAGAAAAGAAAGAAAAGGGTCCGTTGCTTGTTTTGCTGCGAACTGTAACAGTTTCAAATTCAGATTTTGCGGAGAAAGTTATGAACTTCCAATTTCGTATGTATAATGTATTGGCCAAAAAAGAATTATTTTGACTATCGATACTTTCCCTTTTTAAGCATTCGATACTATTCTAAGAAGCTAATCTGTTTTAAACCACATTTTGGAAGTTTACTATACTCAGCAGTACTCAATCTATGTTACTTAAACATTCATACATATGTCTAATATAAGTAAACGATCATATAAAACAATAGAACTGACCAAGGGAACGAGAATGCAAATTATAAGATCTTGACAGAATTCAAACGAGGTAGTATTTGGTGGGAGAGAATGCCGGTACCGGCATTTTCTACCGTTTTCCAATTTTTGCCAATAGAATACGGGCACCTGTCTTACTCTTTGTCACACCAAAGGTTATGTTAATGCAGAGAAAGGGGAAAAGCTATTTTCGGAGTACGTCCAATTGACATTCCATATTAGGAAAAACGTTGTTTATTTAGTTCGGCTTGGTACGGGGAAAAATATACATTCATAAAAGCACTAAAAACAAAAAAAGGGGGGGGGTTAAAGAAAGTAGCACTATAAGGCCTTTATATTTTATTTTCAAATATAAGGACTTATAAGCACTTATAAGGACCGCTACGAACCCTGTGTATAAAAATTACCTTATTTTCTTTATTATACCTTATTAATTTTCTCTGTTCTTCCTTATAAAGACAACACAAATTATGACTAAAAATGGTATATACGAGTACAAATCCAACATGAAAAATTTTTAGCTCCAGTCACAAATTATATTACATTCATTCATTCAATATATAAAATACTAAACAGAACTGTGCCAAGTATATGATGTTCACCAGCAGATGAGTGATAAAGTCGCTGAATACTGGTAGTTTGACTTGAGGTTCAAATCTTGTGAACAGGCTGGCTGCATGGGCATTTTCATGGTTTTCCCCAAGTATAACATGTATATGAGCCAGTTTCCCTTAGTAAGTCCTCCACGAAGACATCCCTTCCCTTAGGCAGATAGCCCTTGAGGCTTGCTGTAATCACATAAACCAAAAGAAACACGAGTATATGATGATATCTTTTGCTCTTACATTGCCTTTCAGAAAACTATACCAGTTTTATAAAAGGACCTTAATATACAAGATTATTTATTAACTTTTATAATAGAAGGAAACATGTATACCCAGCATGTAGGTTTAAATGTTCATTAACCAGTTATGTTATGATTTTGCCTTTATGGGTTTCCACCACGATGCAGAATAATGTACTTAAGTGCAAAAGTTATGTTCACGAGAGAGATATCGCTGATTATAAGGACTAAAAAAATTTAGCGTAATAATATAGCAGTAGTTGATGTGTAGGTGCATAAAAAAGAGGCTGCAGGCATAGTGGTCAATTTAATATATTTTAATTTATATGTTATACATATATGCTTATGACCAACAATTGTGAAAATTATAAAAGTAAAGCTTTTTGAGGACACAGTGTATATGACATATCCCAATGTCTGCAGGTCTTTGTATATGACAGGAATATTCCTAAAACTATCTAAGGGATAGTCTTTACATATTCTGGGAACATTTCCAAAATTTGGTCAATAATTAGAAAGACAAATATTTTATTTTGACAACACTTAAGAGATTTTCTTTGGGGGTTATATTCAAAAACCCTCCCAACCTATTCTTTTTCAAGACTTCATATGTTACCGAAGAATAAGAGAAAGACAGCATTTTATACTTTTGAAGAATACTTCCATGAAATATACCCTGAATAATTCAGGCACATTCCTTCCAGTAGATTAGGGAACATTTTAAATTGGTGCAAGTTTGGTTATATGCTTCCAGAATATGTATAAACAATATGCTTTACATAGTCTGTGAAAACCAAAAGAAAAATCACCAAAATATTCTCGGGAGAATATGCCTGAGATACTGCAAATAACTTAGGAATGGTGTGGAGATGATGTAGAATGAAAATGGGAGTTCTCCTAGGGCATTCTGTGCTACGTAAGATGAAAAGCTTACAGTAGGTTAATTAACTCATTGCTTTTGCTATCACTATAAAGGTTAATTTTCTTAAACTGTTTAGCACAAGAAGTGCCATTAATCCTAATCCTCACTTCTTTGTCTAAAACACTTTTCAAATAAAAGTATGTTGCCACCAAATATTATTGCTATGTATTTCTTGAAAAGATATAATATACAGAATATTAAAAAAATGATGTCACCTAATGTTATCACCACTTACTGCTTTTAAAAAATGATACACCAAATATAATAAAAAATATTGCAAAACTTAAAACTCTATCAAGAATTTTAAAGATACGCTTTTTTTAAATACACCGGGATCTTGCTGTTAAATTCTGGGGGGAGGGGGGAGGCACAAGCACGAAGATGATCAAGAGTGATGCTGAATAAGTAAAGTTATCTTATTAAGAAGACTGAATACTGGCATGATGAACTGAGAAAAACAAAAAATAATTAACTGTAACACTTAACATTTTATCGAAAATTCTAAACATATGCTGATCTTCAAATTTTGTGATTTTACTGTTGAATTTTATTTGACGTAAAAGCAAAGAAAGCAATGTTTAATAACAAAGTTAAAAAGCCAAAAACAATAAAAAAAGGTCATATTAACAGGAATGAGTCCAACAGCAAACTGGTAAAATGTCAACTCGCTGAGATCATAAAAATCTTAACATCTGGCGAGATGTAAAATCTTATCCCTTCAGATTTTTAAAATTAATATTAACTTTAATTAAGGAACAAAGTGCAATTCATTTTCTTACTAATACACTCGGTAACAATATTAGGTTACATCATTTGAATACAGCAAGATACGCAAGGGTTATCTACGGGAAAGGGTGACTTCGAGGACTTTCTAAGGGTTATATTTCATGTTACACAGAGAAAATGACAAAAACAACCATGTAGCCAACTAACTCTTTCAATGTTTGGGGAGGGTCTTAATCACTAAGCCACTGGGGAGGGTAAAAGTAAACTATTTCCTGTTATGATGTGATCCACAATGTCCTGATAGACCTTACACTGCAACTTTTATATACTGTTATGAACTATATACGAAGAAAAACAGTAATTTATTATTATTATGATCAAAAAAAGAGAGCATAAAATATAGAATTCAAACATTTTATTTTCTTGACGGAAAAAAATTACAAGGTGCAATTCAGAATCTGAAGTTAGCGTATATATATATTTGATACAATCTGATGCACATAAAAATACATGGAATGCTACTTACCTCTTTTCAACAGAGATAACATTCAATTAATTTACATATAAATTTCATTCAACATTTTTTATATCATGAATATTATGGGGCACTAGTAACATTTATACTATACAAGATAAATGAAAGTACAGGAAATAAGCTAAAACATTTATAGTCGACAGAACAGTTGCTTTTTTTATATTTTTCCAAACAAAACTAAGTAAGAATCAAGAAGTTCAAAAGCTTATTTCATCCCACAGTATATTTTGCCTTTTTTAGCAGCATTTTCCAGGTAATCCAGTTTACTGGTTCTTTTTATTATTTTCAGAATATGGTGGTGGAGGCCCCTGCTGAAATCATTAAAAAGAAAAAAAAAAAATTATAATGCTGAAGATTTAAATGCATGACTATATACACAAAACAACATTTTGGTCCTAATTAGTTTTTAACTAACATTTGGGCACAAAAAACAAAGTTAACACTATTAAAATATTATTTGAGCTTAAATTTTAGTAAAATTTTTTTTGTCTTATACTCGAATAAATGAAGTATTGATATTCGGTTACATTGCTTACAAAAGATTAATTTAACTTTCAATATTAGATAACACTGATGTTATTTACTTATAAAAGATTGAGTTTCATGGACTTGGCATCATTTAAATCTTTTGAAGGCACAATTTTAATTTTCAGAATGGTGGCTCACTAGCAATTTCATGAAAGAGCATTGGATCAATAAAATCTCAGCAATTAAAAATGGATAAATATAAATCCGAAAATTTACTGTGATCTAAACCGAGCTGCTTTTGAACTGCAGACTATGGTTTCTAAAAATTTTAATGCACTTTAAAAACACAGGATAAGGGTTCTTTGTATTGTTTCTATGCTTCATCAATTCAATGAAACAGGGGTCAAAAAACCTGGAAATGATAATGCTTCATTTTTTCCTAAATATTTTACCATTCTTTTTATCAACATTTACTGTATTTTGAAAAATTTTTTCTACATTCTTATATTATTTAAGTGCACTTTTTAATCTTCCTAATGTCTAAAAATAATTCAGATTAAACTAACTAACCACTCATATTGAATTTCCAAACGCTGGTTAAACAAAGTATCAGAACAAAGAAAAAGACTTCATTTCCAGAATGAACCTCTTATGTTCAAATACAAAATTCGGTGGTTGAAAGGTTGTCCTAATGATGTAAAACCAAGGATTTTTTTAAAAAAAAAAAAAAAAAAAAAAAAAGAGAATAACCACATTTAGCACTTTATCACCATTTTGGTGGTTTATAACAACTCTAGGGGTGCCCTCTTCTGATCCCATGCTGCATAAAGTTAAGAATTTTTTATTAATAACATATTTTATATCAGAATTATATTTACTGATTATAAAGCAAATATAAGTAAATCTGGAGTTCTTTTGAAATGGTGGTACTGAACAGTAAATACCTTCTTCAAATTTCCCTTTTTGACTCAAGAATTTCCCAGTTTTCCATATTTTAAGAGGCTGGCAACTGTGGAACAATTAAAAAAAAAAAAAAAAAAAAAAAAAAAAAACCCTATTTCCTGATATAAGAAAAGGAAGAATAATATGACTTACAGGATTTTGATGTCCATTCATATTCTGCTGTGCATAGAGTATCTGTGAATTGTAAGGATCTTGATAAAAATCATATAGTGGGGGAGCACCTGCTTTTGAATCTAAGCAAGAAATGAGAAATGTGTTTTTAATGACACACAATCAACAATTTCAAAATTATCCAATCCCAAAATATGGATTTTATTGAAGCTTAAAAATATTTTAGTTAAAAGCTATATATAGTTAGTAAAAAGACATTAATTAAGAATGCTATTATAAATGAACAACTATAATTCTGCATGTATCACTAAAGCATACAGCAGTACCAACCACTGAACAGCATCCATGGAAGTCACGAGTGCCCCTTCCAATGTCAATGCAGCCCAGTGTCCAGCAAAAATTTTTAAAAATCTAGGGCACTGCCAAGTGCATCAACTAACCATACTCTCGAGTAATATATTAAAACTTACTTTGATAACACAATTAATATATCAAGTATATGATAAATAATAATAAAAAATATATAGTGAATATTTGAAATACTAGGGGGACACTTTGGGTCATCCTTAAAGTTCTGGAGCTTTTTGATGATACATACAAATGAAGTAGAACAAAAATAAAAGAAATTTTCATTGAATCACATAAGCATTATTTTGTTCCATGAATTTTTCCCCAACTCTCAAACAGCTGAAAAATTACTTTTTAGAAAACGTTCTTGAGTTTATTAAAGAAATTCTCAAGGTGCTGCCTGACAGTCTCCAAAGAAGTGACCTGCAAGCCGTTCAGAGAATTCTGAAGTAACCCGAAAAAATGAAAATCCAAGAGGGCAATTTCTAGTGAATATGGAAGGCAGTGATACAATATTCCATCCATACTTAAGATGACTTTGTCTGATAAACATCGAAATGCATGGCCAAGCACTGTCGTAATGGAAGACAACACCAAGATGATCGGTCAGTTTTTGGTGTTTTGCTTCCATTTCCACTTTCAAAACTGCCATTTAGGATGAGTTTTCAAAATTTGATTTGGTGGTCAGTATTCAATTTCTTTGTATTTCCACCAGACATAAAGCATTACTTTTTTTTTTGGAATGCAGGACCCACTTGATTTTACTGAAGGACGCTCTTTTAACTTATCCCATGACCTTTTTAGTATTATTGTACAGTATCCACTTTTCATCTCCAGTAATGAACCCTTTCAAAAATAGGAGCTTCTTGATTTCTTTTTGGCAGAGAATCATATGTTGAGACTCGAGCAAGCATATTCTACTCTATTAAAGTATGGGTTACCAAACACATCATTGTGCCCGACATATCCAGTCTTTTTCGTATGATTATATACTTTTTGGAAAATTTGTCTGATAATCCCTGAATTGTATAACATGGGCTTCCAATGATAGTTTCTTTTAACAGGCTTTTGCTTACAAAGTATGGTCATCCAGAGCAAGCATCATCTTTGAGGCTCAAATTTCTGCTCTTTAACCTCTACCACTTTAAGATTGTGCCATCAGAAACACTTTATTCATATACAGCACACATTTTATGTGCAATCTGAAATGCAATTTTTCCTTTCTTAAAATGAACTTTCAGGTTCTGCATTCTTAGCTCTGCCCTAAAAGAAAAATTATGCCACAATACATGCTAGAATTATGCATCTCGAGCAGAAAAGATTGCATTTAAACATTCACTTTAATAAAGATGACTCCATATCAATCAAGGTGATCATATTTGATCACATTAAAGTATCATTTGATCATACTCAGTCAGTGAACTTTTCGAACTATCATCATTCAGTCAAACTGATTCCATTTCAACAGTTACAAAATAATCAGAAGAAAACATACTCTCATTAAAAATATTGCAGAGCTTTCTAATTGACCCAACAAACAGCAAACATTGGCTATATCTAATAAGCATATGTGCTGAACATACTGAATGCATGGTTAACATATAAAGTGATGGTGAACTACCAAGCACATAGAGAGGACTGCAAAAACAATTTTATAGATTTACAAACAGTTACAACGAAATACCTTATTAATATTATACACAGCAAAAAGAAACATTGATATATTTATTGGATCAGACCAAAGTTCAATGCAGTTACCTGTCTAGGACTAAAACCCTGTACGAATGGCTTTAAAACTGAGAATTGCCTTCCACTGGTTTTATGAAAGAAGTATTGGCTTGTATTCATGTTGTACATGAGTAAAAAAATATTGATGTAGCCAGCTGCGCTCTAACTTTTACAGTTCATTTTCAAAATAGTCTCAAGAATGTAGTTCCAAGTGTCATAATTCTATTGTGATTTTTCCACAGAATTGCTGTAAGTATTCCTTATTGTGAGATAATTTTTGGTACTTCTTTGTTATAGTGGGCCCCCAATAATGAATCGTCAATCAAACGAGATATCTCGCCAAAATCTGGGTGTGTGTTGTTATACATTAGCAATGACTGCATGTTCAGTATACCTCACTACGTAATTGTATATTAGCATCATTTTGTTTTTTGCTCTAGGCACATGTTCTATCATCTTTCATTTTTGATGACGTCTTCAAACTCACATTGTTTATTTAAATATATATATATATATATATTTTGTGTGTGTGTGAGTGAATATGACATTAACAACCTTTGATTTACCAAGTAATGCCATATCACTTTCATAAAGATGTCTTTTACGTGACAAATGGGTATGCGAAAATGGCCACAACATGAAACTTTATGTTAAAGACAAAACTATTTGGAGGTACAATGTTAAAAATTACAAAATGAAGATGGGCTTCCACATTGGAAACTGGTTCACCACTTCCAAAATATCATTTGTCACTGGTATTAGATTTATGTATTCTTGGGTTGACATCCATCACATGGTGTAACAAACAGCTTAATATGCACGCTGTTTAGTGGAATTATTACATGTGATAATAATAATACGGTAAGGATTCTAAATATATTACAAGGAAATTATGTGAGTATTATTATATGTGTTGTTTAATTTTAGATCCATGCTTCATGAGCTTGGCGAAATTATAACTCTGATCTTGGTGCAATTCTAAAATCTCTAAATATGGTTGGGGGCAGCTATAAGAAGTACCAATTTTTTTCACTGACAAATAGATTAAGAAACACCTAAGAGCAAAAAAATGAGTACCCTGCATTAAAGAAATCCTATCATAACATCTATCAAAGAGCAATTGGGATAATGAAGCAAACTTCTTGAATGTCATCGATGATATTGCAAACAGAAAAATAAGGAAACCAGCACATTAGAGTGTTGAAATTCAAAGGTTCTTATTTCCCTTATGCATCATTTTTAACAATTAACAAAATTAATTTTTGTATGCACAGTGAGGGCAGGAAATACCACAGTGCGAAACCAAACTGGTAACAAACACCCAGTGCTGAAAAAAACTATGCCATTAGTTATTCAAGTTTTTTTTTAATATGCTGCAACTTATATCTATTTATTAGGTACCTAAAGATAGAATAATCTATGATTATCTAACAAAGAAAAAATGATCTATTCCTTCAGATTTCAGTCAGAATGTCTGATACACATTTAACATGACTTCTGTGCAATTTTCACAATCAGTGAGAGAAAATATTATATATATTTATATACATGAGATGGAAGTAATATTTATTGAGCTCCAATGATTGTGAATTTTAAAATGCTGCAAACATCAAAATTTTCCATTAATATCGAAATGAAATCCAAAGTTAATTTTTTATCTGTTAGTTTGTAATTTCCATTGTGGCAGTTTGCTGGAAAATTTTTCACTTGTTTAGTGACTGTAAAATTTTAAACGTGTGTTCACTTAACAATACCTTGTTAAAAAATACTTTATAAATGACAGCAATTTATTACCTTGACTTAACCTCTTCGAGCCGGGTAGCGAAAACGCGCGCTTATCGCGGGAGGCCGGCAGTGTCTTCCGCGAGCGTCTCTCCAGGGCCGGGAGCATTTTTGCTACTAAGCCTAAATCCATGAAATTTCCGAAGTATCAACGCATTGTTTAATAATGCTCTATATAGTATTCAAACGGCTTATGCTTTATAGATATTTATATATATATACTTTAATTACCTTATTTCTTGTCTAAATGCATATTTTACACATTTTATTTTAATTACTCACCATTTTATGACTTTTAACATTATACATCTGAAAACTAAATATATTACTTAAAATTCTCTTTTCGTATGAAAAATTTGAAAACGGGGATCTACACACAGTCCTACGTTACATTCCTTGAACTCGTAATAACTCATTTGCCATTTTGGAGGATTTTTCCAGGAATGTGAACAAACGAAGCATCGTCGTCTAATTTTCTTATCAGTCTCTTCTGAACAAAGTTTTGGAAAATGTCTTTCAGTTATTCTTTCAGAATCAATATCAGAATTTCAGAATCAATATCTGAAATATTTTGCATCATTTCTGCTATTTCATGCTCTGTTAAACATTTTCGACGCTTCGACATTGAAACGGTAAAAACAGAAAGAATTCACGTCTAACAAGATCTAATTATTTTCTAAAAACTGAACTGTAAACCGAAATACTCAACGCTTTAGCGCATATAAAACTTCTACTTACAATAAACAACTACCACGTGTGAATAAAGTGCGATTTAAAGAGATGTCATAAATCACGCCATTCGGAAACATTTAGTTCCCCATTTGTTTATATAATCAAAAACACGTGTATGTGAGTCATGCTTCTCTCATTTCGAGTAGAGCTCTAATATACATGTATCTGAAATCATATGGGCATACAGTGCCATCTTGTGGCAGAAATTATAGTTTGAAAAACGTTCCTAGGTACTGGCACAAATACGTGACATTCGGTAGAAAACGCAACATTGCTCTGGCACGCCTACATGTCGGCCGGTAGATAAGTGCATTTGTTGCTGGCACGTATACGTGACAGTCGGCGCGAAGGGGTTAAGTGAATATAAAGAAGGTTGATTCACAATCAATGAGAAAATATGTAAGTACTTTTAGAAACTGGAGATTTAATTTAAATGATGATTTTTGATAAATAATGTAGAACTAATAATCTAGAACTTTAGATATATTATAAATCAATTAAAATAATCATTAATACCAGTAGTTGGTGGCTGCTGAGCGACTCCATTATACTGTCCGTACGCTCCAGGAGGGGGTTGCTGCTGGGGGTTATATGCAGGTTGTTGTTGAGGGTTATATGGAGGTGGTGGCTGTGATCCAGGAGGTGGAGCTCCTGCAGTTCCGGCAGCAAATCCAGGTGGTGGTGGCCCTCCAGGATAGCCGACAAGGCCAGTAGGTCCTGCCTGAGGATATGCTTGAGAGCCCGGCGGGAAAGCATAGGGAGGAGGATATATTCCAGGATAAGGAGGAGGCATATCCATTGTATATACACTGTTAGCTACCAAAGAAAAATATAAATATCAAAGAAATGTTCTTTGTATTTAGGATACATACAGTAGTATACAGTATATACAGCAGTAGTATATACAGTAGACTCTCAAATGATTGGGTAATACAGGGAACAATGTCCAAGATTATTCCGATTGCAATTAAAAAAAATACATGAAAGAGGAATAACTTGTATTATTATCAGCAACAAGAAAATATAATTAGCACTTTACCTGTGCTCTAAATAAATTTAATTGGTTACGTAAGTTGAACTGACATTCAAAACTTGAACATGCTTTAAAACAGAAATTTTTTTAAAAATTATATTACTTTTGTATTTCAAAAAGTCAATGAGAAACAGAACATCAATGTCCGCACATTTAAATTTACTTTTACAATTTAGAAATTTATTTTTAATGGATGATTAAACAATAATTATATATTCCACATTATGCACAATTAAATGATACACTGCTGTGGAATGATGTAACATCATCTTTTACCCTACACATTTTCTTCTACTTTATTTCCCAAAGAGAATTTGCTTTTATTCTGATGTTCTCAGAAAGTTTTCCATTGCACTACCATAAAAAATTTTTTTTAGAGATGGCTTCGTTAACTGCGAGTTGACTGTATGTCATTTCTCTCCTGCTGCAGGCAGGAATGCTGGGTTATTGAAATATTGCAAAGCATGCAATGGCTATCCGCCTAGGGAAAAGGGATGCTTTCATGCAGAACTTTCTAAGAGAAACTGGCTCTCTTTCCATTACACATGGGAGAAAATCATGAAAACTAACCACTCAGCTGGTCCATTCGCCTGGATAAAACCTAGTTTAAACTCCCAGTATGAACACATACAGCACACTTAGTTACTATGATGTTGCAGTGACGTCTCAATGTTGCATTTTCTTCACATTACATTTGTGACCACTGTATACCGTCGCATTGTGATGTAAATGTGAATGTCATATGAATGTCACATACACGTCGCAGCAAATGTTTAATGTGACAACAAGAAATTCGCAGTCTATCCCACCCTGACTTTTCTTGACCTTGCTCACGTAATTCTTCTTTAACGGGAGGTATTCTTGTGCACTGACCTCTCTCTACCCGATTCATTGCTATGTGTTTCAGTAAACTTTTCTAAATAAATTATTCTTTTATGCTAATAGCTTGCAATTTTGGTTATTTCTTTTTTATTAAAAATATTAACAGTTTATAGAGTGTTTTCATTCATGTGGTACTTCGAAATCATTGAACTTATATTCTGTGGTGAATGAATTCACATTCTATCATATATAGTGTTATCAAGAGAGACTGACGAAAGAGTTTGTTGTCTGCATAGCGTTTGTTTGTCTTAAGGATCTTCGCGACCATTTTTTTAGTTCTGTTCGCTGAACACATCGTCTGTGCTATATTTTCAGGTAAGCACTGTTTATTGTACATTGATGTGAATGATTATCAGTAATAATTAATATGTAATAATAAAAGCATAATTTAAATGCTATGAACAAAAAGAAATATTGGCAGCTGATTAATTTTTATTTGTATTACAAAGAGTGTGGAAGCAAGGGCCATTAACAAAAGTTTACTCTCATCTCTGTCTCGCTGTTTAGAAATTTTAATTTAGTGAATCAGGTTTATTTGGTAGATATAATTCACCTTTTGTTGTTTTTAATGTAAAAGATAATGTGAAAAAAGGAATTGATTTTATGCATTTTAATGCAGTACTTTCATCGTGTTCAGCTATTTTTCCAAATTATTCATAAAATAATTACTTACTTCCATGCGTGGTACTTAGTGCCACATTATAAATGATCTCATACTTCCACACAAAAAACGAAGCAACTTTAACAACTTACATTGAAAGAAATGTTTAATAAAATAAACAAATAAATACAGTACAAAGTCCGTAATCCGGACTCGTTGGGACTTTGGCGATTCCGGAATAGGGTTTTTTCCGGATTATAGATCATCAATTTAAATCTGGTAAGATGGCATGCAGAAATTATACAATTAAAAATATTAAACCGTAATTTATGAAATAAAGAGCAATTATGATCTAAAGGGTATCAAAATTTACAAAAAAAAGATCTTAACATTTATTTGTTTACTTTATTAAACATATCTTTCAATGCAAGTTGCTTGCTTCATTTTTTTCTGCTAAACGCGTATGCGTAAACATTAAACGTGCATACGTAAACACATTACGTGCATGAAGAGAAATTATGATCTAAAGGGTACCAAAATTTACAAAAAAAAAAAAAAAAAAAAAAAAGCTTAATATTTATTTGTTTATTTTATTAATAATTTCTTTCAATGCAAGTTGTTTAAGTAGCTTCGTTTTTTGTGCTAAACATGCATGCGTAACATTAAAAGCGCATGTGTAAAGCATACCAAAAAAAAAAGTTTGTGGCTTTGAGGTCCGAATTATAGATCATTCCGGATAATGGACATCAAGATTACGGACTTTGTACTGTATTAAGCTTTTTTTTTTTTTTTTTTTTTTTCCAAATTTTGATACTCTTTAGATCATAATTGCTTTTTATTTCATAAATTACGGTTTCATATTTTTAATTGTATAATTTCTGCATGTCATCTTACCAGATTTAAATTGATGATCTATAATCCGGAATTGCCGAAGTCCCAACGAGTCTGGATTATGGATTTTGTACTGTATAAACTTAAAAATTACATCTAACTATCTAATTTATTTGCATATTATAAAACACTAATTAATTAAAGTGAAGTCTTTGCCATAAAGGGGAAGAAAAACTGATTTTAAGGTAAAATGTAACTTCATGGAATTCTTTTTATTGGGGCAGACCTCAGTTCTTTGCCGAATTTAAATAAGCAAATACATTTATATTTGGAAATTTTATAACAGAAAACCAATTCCTGGAAAGTATTTCTTTTAATGTAGGTGGAGGAGTTTTTATATTTTCGTTACTTTTTAATTTAAAAAAAGTTGTAAATTTATTCCCACAAATTTAAGTAGTGAAATTACTTTTGCTTTCATAAAACAGCCAATTTCAATTTGAACTTAAGTAAATAACTGAAATTAAATTTTAATTGTATAGATTCTAAAATGAAAGGCATAAACGTGTTTTCATACTTACTGTGCTATAAGTAAATTAAAACAATTTTATTTTTATATTAAAGAAATCAAATAATCTATTTCTCTTCAGTTAAAAGTATACATAGGAAACTGTTTCTTTTATTCCGTCTAGTAAAAAAACTCTAACATCATTACTACAGGGTTGCCATTTAAACAGGAGAATGAAATTCCCCAACTTTTCCAGGTTTTCCAGCTGTGTGTTTTAAGAAAATTCCAGTCTATCCGCATAATGCACGTTGGCTGTGCTAAAAGGTACAACACTAAAAATTTGACAATTACATATGACTTATATATTATATATATATACACACAGTACAAAGTCCGAAATTCGGACGTCCATTATCCGGAATGATCTAAAATCTGGACCTCAAAACCACCAATAAAGTCTTTTTCGTAGGCTTTACGCATACGTATTTGGTCCCCCCTTCTGCGCATAACGAAACATCTGGAGTCCTGATTCTTAATTTCACTTCAACATTAAATAAAGTGCCTTGTTGTTGAGGAAACAATCATTTGTAGCATAAATTTGTACGATTTGTACGAATTTGGCTCTCTTGCCGCATATCTGTTTTAGCACACACCTCAAACCGAAACATTCCACATAAATACATCGTTGATCTGGTGATCCAACCTGGCGAATCATTATTTATTATGCTTTCCTTTCCTCACTGCATGTTTATCAAAACATGACAACTTGCATAATGACTCATGTAGCGATGCCTAAAAAATTTTTTTATGTTAGTAATTGAATAATAAAGGAGTATGGTAACCTTTTATGTTGACATTACGCTTGGCGATGATTACAGATTTAAGTTAAATGAGCTAAAAAATGTTGACGAAAAATTTCTTTCCATATGCTAAAAATAGATTTTTTTATGATACTCATAGACACAAAGATTACATTTAGGGCTATTTGAATTACGAATAACTGATTTGTTATTCACATAAACCCAAAACCGGCCACCAGGGCTCGTACTGCGCCACAGAATTTAGGACCTACAGAGACTGCATCAGGCGGTAAGATATCTAGCGCAGTCCCTCAATATGTGGGAATTTAATTATTCAGAACTCTGAAAAGAAGAAAGGGAATGACATTCTGCAAGAAATAGACATAAGTATAATAAAAAATTAATACAATTCAGGTTTATTTGTCTCAGTGCGTGACAGAAGCAAAATAAAATTTAATGGAATAACTTGACGTTAGTCGCCAAGCTCACGATGCACAGCCAAATACAGTCAAAAGTCGTTAATCCGGACTCGTCGGGACTTCCGCGATTCCGGATTATCGAGTTTTCCTGATTATAGATCATCAGTTTAAATCTGGTAGGCATGCAGAAACTATAACATTAAAAATATGAAACCACAATTTATGAAATAAAGAACAATAGTAATCTAAAGGGTATCAAAATTTACAAAAAAAAAAAAAAAAAAGCTTAATATTTATTTTAATTTATTAAACATTTCTTTCAATGTAAGTTGTTTAAGTTGCTTCGTTTTATGTGATAATACTTTCTCTTTAATTCTATAAACAGACATAATTTCTTCTTCAGTTACAAAGTTCCGCTGTTTAAGTCCTATAATTGCTGTGTGGAGAATACCGACTAATTTGTCAATCGAAATTTTTTCAATTTCAATAACCTCTGTGTCACTTTCTTCACTATCGGAAGCAAATTATATGATGAGGAATTTGATTTAAATCATATCAAAGACGGAGGACATCGAGATGAAATACTACATTTAGTAAGGAATCATAAGCCGAATAAAATAAAAACATCTGCCCTGAAGATAAGGATAGTGCTGACAGATCAACTTCCAATTCATTGCACGCCGCGGCGTTCCCCCCCCCTGCACAGAGCAGCGTGAAATTGATAAACCGATTTCGGAATGGTTAG